CTCTTTACAGTTCTTACTACAGGCTTAGCAGATTTCAGTTTCTTATTGTAGGCTGGTAGAAGATGAACCAAACAGTGATCAGAGAGTCCCAGAGCCACTTGGGGGACAGAGTGGTATACATCCTTTAAAACTGTGTAGCAATAGTCCAGTATATTGTTGTCCCTGGTGGGGCATGTGATGTGCTGTCTGTATTCAGGCAGTTCGCGGGTGAGATTAGCTTTATTAAAATCACGAGAATGATAATGAAAGAGTCTGGGTAACGCTGCTCTGTGTGTGCGATCAGCCAGCTGTTCTAGTGCCAGTGGAGTCCTAAAACCACGCTGTCGGAATTTCACGAGTGCACCTGTGTGCTTCCCTCGTTTGCATCACTTGAAACGCTTGTATGGGATTGCAGCTCCTCCAACTAGAATGTCCAGTAAAACGTCTGAATGCTCAAAAGTCGGCAAAAAGTTATTTGGTGTTCTATTTCTGATGTCTAGGAGTTTGTCCCTAGTAAAGCTGATCTGAAAAAAGTTATTTAAAACTTGTGCTGTCAAACGATTAATCGCATCCAAAACAAACGTTTTTGTTTACATAATACATGTTTGTGTACTGTGTATATTTATTATGTATATATAAATACACACACATGCTTGTATATATGTAAGAAACATGTTTTGTTTATATATAAAACATTAATATTTATATATAATATAAATTATATTTTAATTTTTACAATATATACATGTTTGTGTATTTATATATACATTATATATATACACAGTACACACATATATATTTTGTAAACAAAAACTTTTATTTTGGATGCGATTCATCACGATTAATCTTTTACAGCACAACTTAAAACAGGACATACAAACAAAAATAGCAAAAGTACCAAGGAGCTACAAAACTGAGGCAGCCATCAACATCACCATCTTGTATGTCGATTTAGCTGCAAGTTTGGATAAGGCTAAAGTAGATTTCACCTTGAATGTTGCCCCTGACCTCTGAGAATTTAATACGAAGCATCCTGTGCTCTGAAATCTTTATGCGGTGGGGTCATTGCCAGGCTATTCCCTGCCAGAGTCATTTTTAAAGGATTAACACGGATTGCAGTGTTCCTGTTTACACCTTCCTTGAGCTTTAGGGCAGAGAGGTGACCAAAAGCAAAACTTATCACGCATATATACCAAGGCTACAGAATCTCAGACTCTGGAGTTTATGGAGAAGGACAAATACGCTATATGCACTTTCAAGGTTTACTTATTCATGCTCACAAACTCAAAAAATTTACCTGTCTGTCAGAGGAATTCCTTTAGGTTTGCAGCAAACTAAAGGACAAGAGAAACAGAGCAGGACAGAAAGAGAAAGAAAAATAATGAGTGTGCTCTGCAAGCTGGTCACGGCTGGAGCTGAATGTGGAAGTACTTCCTGCTCTTCCTGGATGACTCCCCTTTACTGCCATGGCACACCGGAGACAGACCAAACTGCATGGCGTAGACCAGTGAGCACATTACAAACTCCCTCACTTTCACTTTCTGTCACTCTTTACACCACAACTGAGTGTTTTGGACTCTGCGGCGAGAAAATGTGCAAGAATGTTCAAACAGAAACCCGGCAGAGGCCATTGTTCAGTTCTGCCACAGTGTTACGCTCTCAAAGGGAAGACATAAGAGCAGCAATTATTTCCACAATGTAGATTTTATTGTGCAGGGCGCTTTCGGTCTCTGCGTGTAATGTGTTCAGCAGTTCATCACTTTCCTTCCTGCAGACTTAAACGCTTCTGTCTGTCATCACCTCCTGTCAGAGAACAGAATCGCCAGAAAAACAAAGAGCTGATTCTGGAAAAACAGTCTCGGCAGATTTATGAAATATTGCTCCCGTTTTGCTTTTGTGCTGGAAACACAGCGGAACTTATTACATGTGTGCAGCTCAGGTGCTGACTAAAATTTGATGTTGTACTTATTGTTGACATAATAGCTAGCAGTAGAATACAGATGTAGCTGGGGGGACAGGTTTTTATTGTACTGGAGAGAAAAGAAACAGAGCATGTAGACAAAAGGTCTAAGACACAGCAAGTTTGACTTTGACTTGTAACAGTTCCTGATTGTGTTTTTCTCTCTGCACCACATTCATGTCCGATCCTCATTAAAAAAATATAGCAAATTAAAAAAATAAAGAAATAAATATTAAATTAAATGCAAAAGTAATTCAAATTAAAATATTAAATATCAATAATATGTTTAAATTATAAATACAAAGCCATACAAAATCACAAACACTTCTATACTTTCCTATCTGTTATTTAGATATTCTAGGATATATCTTTGGTAAACCTAAGCTAAACACATGATTTTAATTTTAATTGTTATGAGAGTGAACAAGAGAATGCCACAGTCAATTATTATGGCTGTTTCAGTTCACAAATGACGCCTGACAACCACCTGTTTCGGCAGATACCTCAATAACGAGGTAAGAGCTAATGAGGCATTTTGAGGGAGAGAGTGGCAAGGGGAAATTCCAAAGTGAAGCAGGTACTTCCCTTCAATTATTCATAGCAGGAGAATTATCATCAAGAGTGAGACGTTTTGAATGAATAATTGATTGTGTTGGCAGCTTTATGTTAAAACATGCAGCCTTGCTCCTGATGGACAGGAGTCACTGGGGAACTAAGTGTGACAAGGATACAGAGGCACATGTCACTTGCTTTGAGGAGGAGGAGAGCTCCTTGCATTCAGGAACATTCGCTTTAATGATCCGAGCAAGGCGAAATGGCTTTCCACGACAAATATAGCCTATACATTTTATTGTCTCAATATCGTTTAATTCACAACAGGATGCCTTTGGAGATGGAAGAGAAAATTTCAAAACAAGATTGACTCCGAAAAAGCAATTTGCTACTGACCTACTGACCTGGCCTGGGGTTAATCCCAAACTAAGCTGAAGCAGTTTGTCTAAAGAGACAAAATCTTTTCACTATTTTAAGCGTTCTAAATTATCCTTTCTGTATAGATGCAAAGGAATCATGTTCTTAGCTAGCAACCAAAAAACACCTCCTTACACTTCTTTAACAATTACATTATAACATCAGGAGATACACGTTTAACAGTATATGATTTGTTCGGTCAATCTGTATTAAACTTTGTTAGGTCAAAAGCTCACCACTGATGAAAAAATAAAAGCAGGTCAGTCTGATATAAAACCTCAACAACCAACTCTCAAAAGCCAACTCTCAAATACATCAGTGCTGCATCAGCTTGGCTCCATGCCGTTAAAACTAAAATTCAAACCACTGTAATAACCTTTACAGAGAGTCTATTCTTTAATGTCACCATTGTTCCTTAGCAACTTTCTCAAAGCAGTGTGTTACAGGTATTTGAGCAGCGCTTTGCTGCAGTAGAGAGTGCCTGGCAACCAGCTATTTTGAGACAATATTTAAAGAGGAGAGGAGAGGAGAGGAGAGGAGAGGAGGAGAGGAGAGGAGAAGAGCTCAAGTATACTTGAGCAGAGAAATGCATGCACATGGTGAGTGCAAACACAATATGGTCACTGTACATTCAAAAGAATAGCACTTCTGCTGCAGATAGTTTTAGCACAATACTGAGAAACTAAAGAGGAAGCCTGCAGGGGAGGGGCAGTCGAGAAATAACTTTAAATAACTTTTTTTGCATAAAAAAGGGAAAGTGTAAATTTCTATTTTTAGCTTTAAATGCTAATATTTTAAATAATAAATACTTTTTAAAGCATTTTGGAAGTACTTCCTGCTCTTCCTGGATGACTCCCCTTTACTGCCATGGCACACCGGAGACAGACCAAACTGCATGGCGTAGACCAGTGAGCACATTACAAACTCCCTCACTTTCACTTTCTGTCACTCTTTACACCACAACTGAGTGTTTTGGACTCTGCGGCGAGAAAATGTGCAAGAATGTTCAAACAGAAACCCGGCAGAGGCCATTGTTCAGTTCTGCCACAGTGTTACGCTCTCAAAGGGAAGACATAAGAGCAGCAATTATTTCCACAATGTAGATTTTATTGTGCAGGGCGCTTTCGGTCTCTGCGTGTAATGTGTTCAGCAGTTCATCACTTTCCTTCCTGCAGACTTAAACGCTTCTGCCTGTCATCACCTCCTGTCAGAGAACAGAATCGCCAGAAAAACAAAGAGCTGATTCTGGAAAAACAGTCTCTAATATTTTAAATAATAAATACTTTTTAAAGCATTTTTGCAGGCCAAATAAATAGCCATGGGGCTTGTCATATAAAAAAATAAATTAATTAACACAAAAATTATACATAAATAGTCTTTAAATCAATATGAGATTATTTTGGGTATATATTAATTATTTCTGATGACAAATCCTAGAAACATTAACAGAAAATCGGATTTTTCTTTCCAAACAAATACTTTACTACAAAATAACTACAAGCAACCAAAAAAAAAAAAAGTCACTGAATCTGTGCATGTGTGGGAAAAAAGTCTCACTCTTTGTTCTTATTTAATATTATGGAAATAACATTTGACTCCCAGTGGACTCCAAAAGGCCCCAGTGGTGTCAATCAAGAAGCTATTTTACTGATCGTGCCCCCAGATGAACTGACTGTTAATTTAGAGCACACCCACATGAGCCCACTGGAAGGTTGTTCTGTCTCTGAATAAAGACAAGGGATAATTATGACAACACTAAACAAAAGAGACCAGGTCAATAAGATTTTGTATAACAGCCAGGTCAAAACTGGCCTGCAGGGGTCAATTCAGTGCGATCTACCCTATGATAATCAAAATCATCTTCAACCTGTCTGACTCACACATTGCAATTGAAATCACAAAGCTGTAAATAGGTTGTGAACAGGTGGAGTGTCATCATGCTAATTGTCACAAAGACGTGAACCAAAATGATTGTGGTGTTCATTTAAATGATAACAACTGCATATCCAGATCCAATTAGGGGGGGAAAGACAGAAGCAGTTTGGTTTGAATGCCACATTAAACCAAAAGTGAACCCCAGAGAGCTGTGTGTTTATGAGTAATGATGAAAATGGAACAGTAAGGAGAATCTGGGTCCATCTGTGATTGTCGTAAGGATGCGTCCTACGGGCTGATTGGATGGAGGGCATAAAACATCAGCGCACTGACAGGAGTGCTCTGGCGAGTTTAGTGAGAGATGTGGGGATGAGCCATCTGTTTGAAAGACCTAAAAGAAGCGAGATGGAGAAAGAGATGAGAGGCAATTACCTGAAGCATCAGGAGGGACAGGTGTCTCATATCTGCTCCACCCAGGAATGAAGTGCTGATGAATGAGAGCATGCAGAGACTAAATATTCACACTAAACGGACAGATTTGTGCTCTCTTCTCAACACAAAGAAGGAAACAAGTCATTCAAGGCACTGTTAGGATTAGGAGGGATCAAGTATGAGAGTGACAACACTTAAAACAGACAAGCAATGCTTATCGACATCCCTAAAATGGCCACCGACACATCAACCGGCCCACCAACTTCAAGGACACAAAGGACTGAGACTCTCCATTCCAATTAAAGGCACCCTGAGCTTGACAGGCCAGAGAGATATATTACTGTCCGAGGTGAAAGTTCAACGATGTATGTGCTATTGAAAGATTAAAAATGCTTTCTATCCTTCAGCTCTAAAGCTTCAGAAGCATCAGTCTCTGTTAATTTAAAAGGAGGTGGATGATTTGCATGTATGGCGCACTAACATTGAGCTGCCTACTTCAATATATTATAATGCGCTGCTTGCCCTTAATGGAGAATCAATGACAGGACAAGCCCGTCACCTTCGAGTCGACGCAAACGCAATTTACACATTGACATGTGGAGGGTGTGTGATTGATTCTGACTGCTTGAGGGTTTTAATATTGTTTTCCGTGCGCTCATTGACTCTCACTCACCGTCTTCCACATTATCCATGAAAGCTCACCGTCTGGCAAAGGCTTAATCTCACTGTCTACGCCCCTCCCTTTGAGACATTAAAACGCTCTCATCGTCTTGCCACTCCTTTCTTTCCTGACCGAGGCATTGGAAATGTCCAGACACTAGGGATGGGAAGATTCCCCGATTCGCTCGGTGCATCTGCATAAAAAGTTAACGATGCGATGCATCGGTTTAAAAAGTGTGCATCGGCTACAAGTTGTATCATATATCGCGATGCATCGTTTCTAACATATTTGCATTGGTAAAAACCGATTCATTTATATATAATTACTAGTGGATGC